CGCCGCGCGCTCCCCGCGCGCTCCGTGCACGCGCCAGCGCTCCTGGCTCCGTGTCAGCGCCGCCCTAGCCAGCCTGGCCGCCTCTAATAACTAATTAGGAGATAATTAACATTTGCAACATGCAGCGGGAAACATCTGGGCCTGCTAATTTATGGGAAGCCTTCACGGCTGATGGATGGAGCCCAGGCAGGAGCGCAGCATGGTGTGGATGGATGGACAGATGGATGGAGGAGCCCAGGAGGGACGCGGGCGCCGAGCAGCCGGGATGGTCCAGGCCGGCCCTCACCAGGAGCAGAGGATTCCTCCTGCAATCGGGCGAGCAGGGCAGATCCCTCGCCAGGGCTGCTCGTGCAGCCTCGTGCCTCCTTCTCGGGACTCCCAGGAGCTGATCAGGGGAGCCCAAAGGCTCCAGGGTGCACGGGGGTCCCGGTGCCGAAGCGGCAGCCGGCGGGCAGAGACTGGGCGCGCGAGGCGGAGGCGACGACCCGGCCTCCTTGGGGACCACAGATTGCGCTGCATTTCCTGCTCTAATAAGCGACTTCCAGCACTGCGGCACGAGGCTGGGGCACGCGGCGCACTAACAGCCTGCAAGAAGCACGGGCTGCAGCTCGGGCAGCGCAATGGGGCACCCCGGGCACCGGTGCCAGGACCAAGGCAGGAGCAGCGGGGTGGGAGGGAGGACGTGGGTCCTGCCCACCCTGCAGACCCATAGCCTGGCCCTGCCTCCCCTGCAGGGATGCTGCTGTTTTGGCACTTCCAAGAGGCCCGGAAAGCCTTTCCAGAGAGTTTCTTCCCTGCGTCTTGCATCGATGAGATGCAAGCTGCAATTTTAGGGTGAATTAATTATATCATTACTGGAATCCAATTTTCTTCCTGACAGGAATGAAATGGAAAGGGAATAATAAGTTGCATGTTAAGTGCACAGCGATATGAGTTTATTGTCATTAATGGGGACAACTTCATTAACAAGCGTGAGCAAAATCAGAAATACAATAGTTCCCGCAAGCCGCTGTCCCGCAGGGCAGGGCTGCTGCTCCCGCCGCAGCGCGGAGCCGCCGGCGCCTCCCGGTGTCCCTGGCTCAGGCTCCCCACGCTCCGGAGCCCAAGGGAAGGCGCTTGGAAGGGTCCCTGGGTGCTGGGGTTGCACCCCGGGTTCTTGGATGCACCTGCACAGACAGAGGCGCCGCCGGGAAGCGGGGCCGGCACCCAGGGAATCTCCGTGCGCTTCCCAGCAGGGCCGGCTGTGCCGGGCGCCCTTCCCTTGGCCCCCATCGCAGCGGGAGCTCCGGGGCTGCCGCGGCCATGGAGGAAGCACCGACTCATTCATAATTCTTAGGAAATATTATTATACGGGAAAGTAATGAAAATTATGCAGCTAATCTACTCTAATAAGCGAACTTCGTGGTCGCTCTGTGCCGGAGACAGTGTGATAATATAAGAAAATATTAGCTGTCATTTCCAATCAGTGCAGGGGAGGCAGCGCGACCTGCCCGCGCCGCAGCGGGATCCGCTGCTCCCGGCTCGCGCGCTGGGATGCACTGGGATGCGCTGGGGCGTTCCCGGGCTGCTCCCTGTCCTCTCCTCCCGGCACCTCTGCTCCTCCTTGAGCCGCGTGGAGGCTCCGGGTCCGTTCGCCAACACCGTGTGTGCGGAGGGCTTTTAATGGGGCAATAAATTAAAACCCCGCCAGGCTCGTAGTCAGCGGGATTCGGTTCAGCCATTTCCTTCTAATCCATTAGCGAAAATGGAACCATCAGAAAATTAGGCGCTGCTTGATGGTTTTTGACTACTAATGACTGTGAGTTCACAGAAATAACTGCAGTAAAAACCTGCTAAGGGATGGGGCAGTTCTGTCACCCAGAAAACAAGACTAAAAACGTACAAGGACGGGCCCATTGCTGCTCCATGCGGGCAGCGAGCGGGCGCCTTCCTCCTGCAGTGGGGCCGGGCACACGTGGAGGCCAAGGCCGCGGTTTCAGGCTCCCCGTGTACATGGCCGGGGTCTCCTGGTGCTGCAGCACAGGTGGGAGCTGCTTTTGTGCAGAAATCGCCCCTGCGAGGCCCGTTGCCGCCTGCCCTCCTGCTGCAGCGGAGCGGAGGCAGAGGAGGAGAGGGAGGTTCAGCCTGGGGCAGCCGGCCCTGCCCCGCTGCTCCCTGCAGCGACCGCAGCCCACGGCGACTAAACGGATGCAAATGTGCTCTGCAAACACTGCCAATATCCTTGGCAGCTTAAGTCGTTAATCTTCATTACTTGCAATACAGCTGAGAAGTTCCAAGCAGCAGCGCCCCGTG